GCAGAAGGGCATATGAGGAAGGGATAGGAGGAAAAGATGCCAGGAGTCAATAGCCAGGAAACTGCTGAAGCTTCCAGAGCCTGGGAAAGTCCTGGACAGATCCTGCACTGCAGGCTTTGTGGGAAGTGCTGCAGGTCCAGCACCTTAATCCCCACTTCCAGAAATCAGACTAAGCGTCAGCTGGTTTAGCACACCAGAGTTTAAGTCATATATACCTGTAATGTGAATTATCTTGTGCTCCTGGCCCTTTAAAGGGTCTCCCGTTGCTGGGCAAGTGGCCCTTTAAGGATTTTTAGCTGTTAGAACTGCTTGACCCTGACCTTCAGTGTTGGTTGCTTCTTGGATTTCTGGGTACAGGATAGCATATAAAAGAGACAGCTGAGGCAGAGAAAGGAGGGCATTGGGCTAGCAGAGTGAGAAGAGGAGGCAGTTGGTGCAGAAGACATGGTTGGAAGATAGTTGAGCCAGGCTGAGCTGAGCAGATCGGCCAGAGCAGTTATTATCGGTTGGAGTGGCAAGTCTTGGGAAAATGGGGAGAAGGGCTTTTGAGGAAGGAATGGTTGGGAGAAATGTTTGAAGCGGAGGGCTGGGAACTGTGGGAAGGGCTGGCAGGGAGTTAAGAAAACCGGTTGCAGTTCTAAAATAGCCATTTGTTTCACGGCTGTGCTAGGAAACCAATACACCTTGGGAGCCTCCTGTATTAGACACATTTTCCGGTGCTGATTTAAGCATCCCTTCTCAGAGAGTGTCACATCCCTGCTCCCTGGACTGTCTTAAGTCTCTTTGAAGCTTGGGCAAAGAGACTTGCTAGAAGAGAGAGAACATTTTTGGTTGTTTCACCATTTACAACTCTGGTTTCCAGGTCGGGCTGTGCTGTTCCCACTAGCTTACGCCTTCTTGGTTTCAAACCCAAGACAAAAGGCCAAGGTGCCTACTTAACATATCAAAGCGGCCTGCAGGTTCTCGGGGCTTCTAGCCCAGGCTGGGCTGCCCTTCTCCGAACCCCCACTCCTCACGTGGCTCTGGACTTTTCTACAAGTCCCTGCCTCTGGCTATGCTCTCCTTTTATCTACAGTAAATCTTCTCCACCATAACTAAGAGCAGTCAAGCCTTTTCCCCTTTCTTTCTTCTTTCTTTCTTTCTTTCTTTCTTTCTTTCTTTCTTTCTTTCTTTCTTTCTTTTTCTCTCCCCCCTCTCCCTTCCTTCCTGCCTGCCTGTGTCTAAAACTCCACACTTTAGTTATTACATTTTCTCTTATTTCCATACACATTTTCCAGGCTTGGTCAACATTAATGGACTCTGAAGTCATTGTGTTTCAAGTCCCTGGTCTGACAAGTCCAATGTGCCTGGAGACCATTGGTGACAACTTCATATTTCAGGGCAATGTTAGACCTCTTCTTTCTGTCTTGTTGAAAAGTACAGCTGTCTGTGGCAATTAATTTTCTACCCAGTCTTCTATCCAGCTGTGGCCCAATGCTTCAACCAAGTGCTTAGAACTTCTGAATGAGAAGGGATGTGTTGGTTTTCCTGGAGGGTGTCCTCATGGCCATTCCTGTCAGTCTTGTGTCTACCCCTAAGGTACATGTGTAATGTCTCCTGACTGTCAGGCCCAAAGGAAACTCCAATTCCCCAAACTCTCAAAGGCAGTCCATATATCCAGAAACGCACTTCTCCTGGATTACAAGAGAATTTCTGGGGGTTGGATGAAAGCCAGCACTCCTCAGGGACTGGCGACACTGGTTCCCTCCACCTAAAGAGATGTTTTCCCTTACCTCTGGCAGAAGGGACATATGGTCACCAGTCTCCTCCTATCACAAGTCCCTGCTAGTGTCCTGTCCCTTCTCAGCTCCTCCCTTCCCCTCCACTCCCTCCAGCTCACAAGCTCCCCCTCCCCAACTCATTTTTCTTCTTCCCTGCTATCATTGCTAATGTCTCTTCATCCGTCCCCTCCCTCTCCTGCTTCTATCACTAGGTTTTTTCTATCCTCTGACCTCTACTCTTCTTCCTTCTCTCACAGATAGTCTTGGCCATGTCCAGTCTGGTGGCCATCTTCAGTCTGCTTTCTCTCTCTGCTATGGACTCATCCAGATACCTCTGGTTCTCTCCCCCCCCCCTCTCCTACAACGAGACTTTCCGCTTAAGCATAGCATGGAGTGAGCAGGCATGTCATAGGTTTTTATTTTTGCCCTTAGGAATCTCTGTTGGCCATGGCACCTTCATGGCTGGTTTTGCTACCTTGTTCTCTTTGTCCGGCATTCCTTGTTAACAGCTCTTGAGTCTAGAGTCTGAATAAATAAGGTGGGACTCTGACATCTGGATTGTTTGTTAAAACACTCCTAATGGTCTCAACACACAGCCCAGGACCCACTGCTCTAACCGGCCCTGCCCTTAGTCCTGTAGGAGAGAAAGTGACTCAAATAGCAGTCACATTGTGTTTAGGAAGAATATTAAATCAATTTCCAGAGCGAGCTTGAGCCTTCAACTCTGAGTCATAGCTTTGCTTCTGCCCAGCTTCTTGCTGTCTCCTCTCAACCACCACCTCTCCTGCAAACATATTTCCTTACATTCTTCATGTGAAAAAGATGTTTTGTTGTCCTCCATGACATACACAGAGGACAGATGTCTTAGCAAAGAACTCTTGTACTTTTACAGATGCTAGGAGAAAAGCTCCACAGAGATGCTGGAAATTGGAAGTCTTTGAATTGAAAGAAACATATGGATAGGGTAATACCCTTGATCTCATTAGCCAACTATGTTTTCTTCGGTAAGACTTTCTGAGAGAGACGGTGAAGGTCTGCCTCCAACAGTTTGCCCTTGGCCTGAGAACAGGTCTTGGCCGTGCCCTGGAGCACTGGGCTGGGCCACACCCACTGTTCTTTCCTAACCAGTGTAATGTTGCAGCACTGTTTGTCCAGTGAGGCTGAACTGAGTCTGTCTTGACCTTTGGGGGCAGCCAGGGCCTGATTCTGATCAAGGTTTCTTCCTCCTTCTTTACCAAAAAAGACATTGAAAACCCTCCCACGAATGAAAGAAAATTAAAACAGAAACAAATAATCATATTGAAATCACTGGACTATAAATGAGTAACTGGGTGGGACTGGGAATTGTTCCTTTCTGTGTGAGCAGCAACAGGGATCTCTTTTAAGGGGTACGCATCCACCACGCTGTACCATAGATCCTTTCTAACAAATAGAAGAAAACCCCGTAGCTATGGCCTGCCCAGATGTTTCTCTGCTTTGGAGAGTTATCTTACCCAAACTCAGCACACATGCCCGTGATGACAAGGGCGTGTCTGCTGTCAGCTCTTCCTCTCCTGTAAACTTGGAAGGATGGGGATACGATGGACTGAGACCACACACCCAGAATGGAGAGTGCCTTGTGGTGTTTTGCTTGGCTGAGATTTTGGTTGTGTCTCTATTTTGAGACAGGGTCACGGGATCTAGCTATGTGTAGTTCAGGCTCTGATCCTCCTGCCTTCTAAATACACACACACACACACACACACACACACACACAAAGACAGACAGACAGACAGAAACAGAAAGAGACAGCAAGAGACAGGGAGAGAGAGAGACTATGAGAAATCTATTGGCAGTCCAGAGCAGAGGACCCTTTTGGGGAAGCAGCTTTCAGAACCCACACACCCCGTCAGCAAATGCCCTGAGGACTTTCGAACCAATTCTCAGAACAAAGAAGAAATTTGACTTTTAATAACTTTATGAGGTACCAGGAAGTCATGTCAGGTGCTTTAGTTTATAGCATGGCCTGTGTTAGCAAGGACCATGGAGGAGCCGGGAGCCATCCATCGGTCGCAAGCTATCATGTCAGAGTACAGACTGCTTCTTAACTGTTCCAGACAGAGCAGCAGGAAGGCCTGGCTTGAGTCAGGCTGTGAGATGTAGCCTCTGTTCTAACAAATAACCCTAACCTGGCTAGCTTGCAGATGTCTATGACCGATGTCGTAGCTGCCAGCCAGCTTTCTGTAGAGAACTTAGTTCTTCTCTTCAATTAGATCCCTCCAGTAACATTCAACGCAAAAAGATCAAGTGTAGGAGCTCATCTATGATTCCAGCAGTAAAGAAGCTGAGGCAAGTGGCCAGCCTGGGCTACATAAATATTCTCTGTTTCCAAAGTCTCATTGCAATAGGTATTTGAGACTCTGATGTTTTAAATCAAAAGTAAGAGAGGAACTGGGTGAGCCAGGATGTTGGTACTGATTAGCAGTTACCATGGCTGCAATATTGGATCCCTGGACTTTTAACTCAGCGGCCTTCACCCTTCCTTATGTATGGTCAATTTTTAAAAGATGCCAAGAGCATCGGCTTTGCCGAGACACGTCTTCCAGGCTACATTTAACAAGAGCAGGTCTACTACAGACTGCCTGGTAAACAGGGGTCTGGGTGTTAGGACTGAAAGTTGGGCCTGTTTGTTTTCCAACATTGCTTCCGCATATTGGAAATTCCCCGATAACATCTAATCTTCTCACTGGCTCTAAAAGAACACTTGCTCGGGTCCCCCATTGTCTCTTCTGTCACCAGCAAGCAAGATAAACTGGTTTGCATCAACGCAGAAGGCTAAGCCCTTTGGCTGCTTAGGTCTGTCTGCTGGGATGCATGGCAAACTTCTCCCCAAAGCAGAGTGGATCCACAGTGGGGTAACTCCACTGTTCTGGGTTACACCGTGTGGTAGCATGCACGTCCGAGGCTCTTTGCCGTAGTTACAGGGTTCTAATTGTCTCCGTCTAGTCTCTCCTCTCTGACAGCACCTTTGCTTCTGATTAGTCAGGGCTCACTGCCACATATTTCAGGAAACCTCAGGGGAACACTGGCTTTGTACTGTCCCCAGCAGCAGTTGTCACCGCTCTTCCAGGAATCACAGGACTGTATTCCCAGTCTTCCTCCAGCTGGTGACTTTGTATTATACTGACCCTTCTAATAGCCACATAAGGAAAAGACAAACAATCCAGACACCTGTGCTGGCTAGGACAAGCCAATCCTTACCAGAGGATTTGGAAGGAGAAAGCCATACTCCTCAGAAATGTGGTATCTTCCCAAGGACAACAGCTCTGTCAGCTTCACACTCCGTCTCTGAGGCTCCATATTTTTGCTTGAAGTCTCTGTACCAGAGGAATGCCCAGGTTCAGGGAGCTTCCCAGCTGTGCCTTCTGTGGTGGTTGTAGCTGTTCCTGCTTCAGCAGTAGGGGAGAACCTTGCCCTGAGGTTGAACTCCAGGATGGCCACAAATCTATTCTGAAAGGAAGCCAAGTAGTAAGTCAACAATGAAGATTAGGAATTAAAACAAATAAGCAAACAGACTGACTACAAGAGAAGACCCCCACCCTCTTACCCCCCATCCCGTTCATAAAATATGAGAAAGTGACTTTGAAATCCAGAACAAATAGACATGAACTTGCCTCTCAGCTATGGCCGTTCAGATCCATACCCAACGTGAGTTTGGTTCCTGAGGGATTCAGACAGTGTATCAAAATTACTAAATTAAGAGTCAGTTTTATTGGCTTTCTGTCTTTGAAAATGTAGTTATTTGTTGAAATTAAAATGTAATTATATCATTCTTCTCTTTCCTACCTCCAAACTCTCCCATGTTCCTTCCTTCCTTTCAAATTCATGGCCTCTTTTTGTTATCATTACATATATGTATATGATGTATATGTACATGAATACATATGTACATACATGTAATATATATGTGTGCGTATATATGTATAAATATATGAATATAGCCTTCTCAGTCTGTTTAGTGTTATTTGTATGTATATACATATATATATACATACATATGTACATACATACATATATACATATACACACACACACACATATATACATATATATATATATATGGCTGACAACTTGATATTTGTATACAAGGAAGTTACAGTAAAGAAACTGCCAATATGACTGCTCCATGGTATAGTAAAGGGAAAGGTTTCTTATTTTCTTTTCCTTTCTTTTTTCTTTTTCTTTTTTTTAGATATGAGAGAGAGAATATCCAAAGGCTTCTGGAAGAGATCAGAGCAGAGAAAGAAAAAAGCAGACTGGACACGGCCAGGGCTGCCCATGAGAGAGCAGAGATAACCGGAGCTGGAGGGCAGGGGAAGAAGCATGGTGAGCCAAGCCGAGAGGGAGCTGAGCGTCTGAGATTAGCTGGGTTATAAGGATGAGCAGCTGGGGGACGGGAAGCCCACGGGCAGGAGGAAGAGGAGGCAGGAAGGGCTGGGATGGTAGCAGGGACTTTGAAATGTGTAATAGATCCTTGTAATAGATACTGAGGGAGCCTGGAGGCCAGCATGGGCTTTTCGGTATACTGTGAGGTAGTCATTTATCTCTTCTGCCAGAGGTAAGGGAGATGACCCCGTCTGGTAGAGGGAAGCCAATTTCACAAATTCCTGAGGAGAGCTGGCTTTTATCTAACCACCAGGAATCCTCCCATAGTCCAGGCTGAACTCATTTCTGGATCTTTGGACTGCCTTTGGGAATTTGTGTTTGGAAACTGGAGTTTCCTTAGGACATGAAAATGTTGGATAGCCAAGTAGAAGGCTTTCCCCTTGGGAGAGCATTTCTCCTGCTCCAGAGTAAACTTTAGAAAGTAGACATTGCATTAGGGGTGGGGAGAGGCAGGAGGAGCATCCCAACACCATATTGGATGCTTAGGAAGGTATAGTTTGGAAGAGCAGTCCTAGGACCCGGTTCAGTTCACAGGAGCACATAGCACTGAATACTGCTTGAAATCTTTGATTTAATTAAAAGAAGATTCATACATGTTTTTAAATTTTTTTGTAATTTAAATAATTTTTTATAGAAAATACATTTTTTCATACAATATATTCTGATCAGGGTTTCCTGTCCCCCAACTTCCCCACCCACCCAAATCTACACCCTTCCTTTCTTTTTTATTAGAAAATAGGCATCTAAAATAATAATAATAAAATTAATAACAATAAAAATAAGAACAAACAAATATAGTAAGCTATTACATATTACTTATGCCATCTTATGAAAGTATCCCTAAGAATACTTTAAGTGCTAAAAGTTTCTTGGGTAAAACTAGTCTCTTGTCACTTAGACCAGCCCTAAATTCCTAAGGTAAACTCGTCTCTGGTCCAGCCATAAATTCCTACAGACTGTGGCTCTGAGCTAGAAGTTAACTGCCTTCTATTTAACTACTGTCTCTCCACTTCTGTAAATGGCGCTTGCTTGCTTGCTGCAGCTCCTTTCTGTATATGTCACTGAATGAAAATGAGGGCCTGACCCCTTTGAGGTACAGCTGAGGAGAAGGTTTGTATTGTAGATATGAAGGAGAACACAGCCAGGGACATCTGGAAGCATCCAGACTGAACCGTGACAGGATGGCAAGGAGGAAGGGAAAAAGGGAGGAAGAGAAGAGAGAGGAGAAAAAAAGCAAAAGGACCAAGAGAGGAGCCTAGAAACATGGCCAAACGATAGGGTTTTTTAGAATCAGAAGCTGGGGAAAGGAGGGGAAGCCCTCCTTCACCCCCCCCCACCTCACCCCCTTCCCTTAGGCTGGAGAGGTTTAGGGTGGGGGTGGGTGAGAAGAGTTGAGAGGAGCCAGGATACTGCTCTGTGGCTGGTTTTTGTAAAGGCTGTGTGAGCCTGGGTCCAGTATATGCTGTAGACAACACAGGGAGCCATTTGTCACCTGACAGTCACAATATTTTTTTCCTTAGAAGCTGGAACAAACTGGTGATCGGAGGCTGCCTCCTTCTAATCTTCTTGGGACAGTTCTGCTGGCAGTTAATAAAGACTCTGTTCAATTCTTATAGGCCTCTTAGGAGATTTTCTCTTCAGGTCCCCCACCCAGCCACAAGAAGAGGACAAAACAAGCTGGGATTCATAATTCTTAACAATACTAGAAAATTTAAAATAGCCTGAACAGATAACTGGATTGAATGCCCCATTGCCTTAATTAGGGTTTCTATTGCTGTGACAAAGCACCACGACCAAAAAGCAAGATGGAGAGGAAAGGCTTACACTTCCATATTGCTGTTCATTACTGAAGGGAGTCAGGACAGGAACTCACACAGGGCAGGAACCTGGAGGCAGGAGCTAATGCAGAGGCCATGAGGCTGCTGCTTACTGGCTATTCCCAAGGCTCACTCAGCCTGCTTTATTATAGAACCCAAGACCACCAGCCCAGAGGTGGCATGGTTCACAATGAGCTGGCCCCTCCCACATCAATCACTAACTAAGAAATGCCCTACAGTTGGATCTTCTGGAGGTATCTTCTCAAAAAAATAAAAATATTGATGGGGGAGCTGAGAGGATGGCTCAGTGTTTAAGCATTTGCCGCACAAACATGAGGGCCAGAGTTGGGGTTCCCAGAAACTCACATGCATGTTGACTGCATGGTGATGTTCAAAGAGACAAAGGATTTCCAGAACAAGCTGCCTAGAAAGACAAGCCATATTGGCCAGCTCTGGGTTTGACAGAGAAACTCTGTCACGATGGCTAAAATGGAAAAGCGTGAAGGGTAATTCCTGACAATAACCTTAGTCCTCTACACACACACACACACACACACACACACACACACACATATACACACTCACACACTCACTTATATACACACACTCACACATACTCTCACACACACTCATACATATACTCACACACACACACTCACACTCACATTCACTCACACACACTCATATACACACACTCACACATACTCTCACACACATACTCACATACACTCACACACACACTCACTCATATACACATACTCACTCATACACTCATATACATACATACACTCACACTCATACACACACACTCACTCATATACACACAGCCACACACAGCCACACTCACACTCACTCATACAATACTCATACATACTCACACACACTCACATATACACTCATATACATACTCATGCACACACACACTCACACACAAGTGTGTGAGCACCCACACATGTGCTGATACGCATAAACACACACATGCGTACTCCACATAGAGAAAAACAGAAAAAGAAATAAAGACAGAAATTGATGGTTTTACTTCTGAAGTTAGTTCTTTCATTTCACAGAGCGGTAAACTGAGCCACGTGTGACCTGATCGACTCACCTGCTCAGCATCAGAGGGCAGAGATGGCTTTGACTGACAGTTGCTCTGTTCACTGGAACCCAGACTAACTGTCATAGACGCTTTGGCACTGAATTCACGTTGAAGTAGAGCCTGGGATGGTGATTTCTATATGCTTGGTCTGCACCGGGAGTGGCGAAGGCCTGTCCTGTGGTTTGGTGGACTCTGGACTTAAATTGGAAGGCTATCAATGAATTCGTTTGGAAGCTAACTTGTCTATGCATAGCGTTCTCCCTTTCTTTAAATTATGCACAAGAAAATTAGGAGTGCCGTGTAACAGGTTTAGCCGTTCCTGTGGAGGTTTCTCTGATGAAGGTTGAACACCTAAAACAGCCTTACAATTTGGTAGGAGATCTCAAAGAGTCAGGCTCCACTATCCGCAGAACTTCAGTCCTCTAGCCAGCCCATTAAAGTTCTGCTTTTTGTGCCTTCTGAACTGACCATCTCAATCTCTATAGCCTCTTAGTCTTTCCCTAGGCCTTTTCTCTTTGGTCTCAAACCTGGGAAAAATGGCTTCCTGGGGTCCCTATTTAACATATCAAAGAGGACCCCGGCTGCCATATTCTCCCAGCATCCCTCAGTCCCTACCTGTTACAGAATATGGCTGCCATACCTGGCCCTCTACTGTAAACCTCTCCAGCCGAGGGGCTAGGCTGCCCTTCCCTATATATTCCAACTATTTTGGTTACCTGTTCATTTTTGTCTACTCTTGACCCTCCTGGCTCTCCTCTTTTCCCTCTCCCTTCACCTCACATGGCCCAGCTCAGGGTCATGTTCAGTCTGGCCGTGCCCAAATGTCCCTGTGTCTGGCTATGTTCTCTCTCATATCTACAATAGGCCTTCTCCTCCACCATCCCTCAGAGCAGTCAGGTCCTTTCTTTTTTATTTCTTTTTTTCACTCGCCATTGTTTTACAATTCTATTCATGGTATTTTCATCCATTCCCTGTGTGCCCTCTCAAGAATTGTCCTTAATGTTATAAAGCCAACAAATCTTCACACACAACAATCGAAAGGGCCGAGATAGAATAGATGAGCAAATTAGAAGGTGTCATGTTAGC